GTTTGGGCGGGAAGCCATTTTCCGTTGAGAAAACTACCCTACCAAGGGTAGGGTACATTTCTCAACTTCAGTGCCTTTCCTTTTTTTTGTTTTTTCAGTCCTCGTTGCATCCTGAAACGGAGGAACTCTGACAGCTGTGTTTGGCTGTCTGGCATCAAACTCGTTTCCTTCTTTGGGCAATGAATGCATTTGGCCATCCACGTCGTCCCTGTCCATTTTACAAATGGTGACCTCCTGTCCCCTCACCACGGGGAGTATCCTTTTTTCACGGAGACGTTCACTCCGACTGTTACAACATGTTTCATTTCTCCCAGTTACGTTATAAAAAATAAGGAGAAAAGCTGTTTCTAGCGTTTTTTTCAGTTTTTTTATTTGTTGTTTCAAATTTATTAATGTCGACATGGGGTCACACCGTTGAGTTTTCTAAACTCAACAACCGTAGGTGGGACCAGACCCCAGGTAGAATTGTGAGGTCCCCCCGGCCTCGAGTGAATTCAATTGATAATAAATTGTGTTTAAAAAAAATAAAAAATAAAAAATCGGAACGGTACAGAGAAGATTAGCATGGCCCCTTCGCAAGGATGACACGCATAAATAAAAAATCTTATGTCTGTCGTTGGACTGGTGTGTGTGAGTGTGTGTGTGTGTGTGTGTGTTTGTGTGAGAGAGAGAGAGAGAGAGAGAGAGAGACGGGTGTAACAGACGCACTGCAGGCCCTTGAGTAATTGCAATGTGCGAAGCCAGCCCCGAGGACCAAAACCGGATCGCTCAGATCGCCTTATCTGCAAGAGTCCATCTTAGCCGCTACTGGTGGTCGGCAAGTTGCCCGCGCGCGTCCTGGCCGAGGTGGCTGTTCCTGCCCTCCCCAGTTAGGGGCTTGCGGGGGCACACACCCACGCACGCACAGAGTCCACACACTTCAGATTCTCAAACTCCACACGCACAACTGCCAAGGGCCAGAAGAGAGGAAGTGTGGGTCCGACGTTTGGCCGCGCGTGTAGGACGTAGAATTGCACGGGCTTCGTCGTTTGACGCGCGTCCTCAGCAAGGAGAGAGAGCTTGCAAGCTTCGCAGCTATGGCCGCCGCCACCGCCGCCCAGCTCTCCTCCGCGGCGAGCGTAGCCGCCCTCTCCACCACGAAGGCAGGAAAGGTGGTTATTTTCCTCTTCATCCTTTTCCCAAGGGTTTCCCGCCCTCCTCCAGCTCCCTGCCCACCCCCTTTCTCCCTGCACTTGTGCTCCTCTCCTTCTTCGTTTTTTCGCTTTCCGTCTCCCTCTTTCTGTCCTTACCATCCTGCCATAGCGAACCTCCACTCCTCCTTCTCCTCCTCTTTTTCTTCTCAAAAAGCGGAAGGCTAGTAGGCCACTTGAGCTCGCCCTTCCCCTCCCCCCCTCATCCCCCCTTTCCCTGTCTAGAAAAAGAAAAGGATAACAAAACAGAAGTCTTAGGAAAAGCAACTTCAAGGGGTCAGAAAAGGACACGACTTGTCTACGCCGCGCATTGGACTCACACATGCAAACTGCTATCGTAAACGGTACGTCGATTAGCATCCACACTACCGACTGGCAGAAAAGAAGAAGAAGAAGAAGAAGAAGAAGAAGAAGAAGAAGAAGAAGAAGAAGAGAGAGAGCGAATGTGTGTGTGTGTGTGTGTGTGTGTGTGTGTGTGTGTGTGTGTGTGTGTGTGTGTGTGAGAGAGAGAGAGAG